TAGTGTATCAGACGGGAAATGGCATACAGGGTTTCAATGGCAAAAAAGACCATACATCTGTAAAGCAGCCAAAGGTAAAAACTTTACAATGAATTAAATCTCAACTATCAAAATCACTTCAATAGCATTTCAGACACTTCCCTTGCTGTAGTAAAAAGATCATAGTGTAATTAATTTTATTGTCTTTGGTCTTATATTTTCTTTACAATGTAAACTTGATATTTACACTGTATCAAATGAAATATTTCTGGTACATTTCCTCAGTTTTTTAAACTTTGTCCATTTGTTTGACTTTGTTAAAGATCATATTGATACCTCTTTCATTCTTTTGAGGAAAATAGCTGCCTAAAAGCTGACATTTCACAGTAAAAGCCACATAGACAAACATGGTCCTCTCAACATTACAGTGCAAGTAATTTAGAATTTGTTAGCAGCATGCAAATAATTTCTACCAATTAAAACGAAACCAAATCTGCAATATATTTTGATAAGGTTTTCTTTTTCTTTCCAGTGTTACCTCCAAAGCCATCACCCAAACCAAGTGAGTCATGCTTTCATCTTTTTCTATTTGGAATTTTTTTTTCTTTCTCTTCATCTACTTTTTTTTCTCTGCAGATGTTGCCATTGATCCTCAAGGTCGGGGTCACACAGCTTTAGTAGCTGTGTTTGTCATTGCTGGGATCGCAATGGGAGCAGGTATTGCTTTCTTCCTGTTCAAGAAGTCTGGTCGTCAGATGACTCTCATACCAATCCCTGGAGGGTTAACGGCCTTTGACAACCCGCTTTTCAGCAGCAACCAGTCACAGAAAAATTTGGTGGACACTAAAAAACTGCTGGGGAACGCAGATGAAGATAACAGTCAACCTGCAATAACTATATAATTGTAAAAGACAGCAGATGGTGCATGGACGTATTCTCTGTTATGGCTGCTTAGGATCAATGTAAATGCAAAGAATGATTTATACAAGAAGATGGTGTAACAATTAATTAACTGGAATGTTAATTCAAGTAGCTTGGATGTATATTGTATTCTAACTACTGCAAAAGTTTAATTGCCTACTGAGAAAGAAGACATGAACACTCGTTGACTCAAAGTAGTCATTCATTTAGAAATGATGCAACACCTCTCCAAATATTATTATTAGAAAAATGTGTTTGCTAAAAAAATCAAACAAGACAGAATTCACAAAAGGTAGAAAGTCTCTATAGATGTTTGATTGTAATTCAATTCCCAGCATGGAGAAAATGCAAAGTTATACAGTTGGTAGGTCAGAGCATTCTCTGACTAACAAAGGAAGTTATCTTGCTACACTTCCTATGTGATTTGTGCAGATGTAAGGTGTTTTTTTGCAGTCCTGCAAAAGCACTTAAGACCATTGGTTTCTATCTTTGCTGACAGTCTTCCAGTAGGAAATGAACTTATGAACTTAGCTTCCTTGCATCTTTAATGTTGCAATGTGTAAGTTTCACTTCAGCAGTCAATATGTAATGTTATTCTGAAACCAGGATATGTCTAGAAGCATAAGGTCAAAAGGCACCAAATGAGTAAATGATGAATCAAGTGAATGTGATCAATAAATGACAATTAACAAGTATTTTTTCCAACAGTTACAAAAACAATCATTGCAAGAGATTATACATTTTGAAATACTGATGTTATATGTTGTAATATTTACAATTGATTGAAAAATGACTTATGGGAAAGTATACACTTAGCAATAATTATTGTGAAAGCCTTGTCCTGCCTTTGCGGCCAGTATGTTCCTACTAGTATTGGTAAAGAGGAATAATCTTTGGAGAGGTTTTAAGTGTTTGGAGCTCAGAAGGACTTCCTGCCATCACCCTAATCTTTAGCTTCCTCCACAAATTCTTTGTTAGTTTTATGCAACAAATCTTATTCCACTTTGAAACATTAATATGTAGAGAAAAATAAAACATTGCTTTAGATCTATATTTGACATGGTAATCAGTTATATTATGCTTAACAAGAGAAATCCATCAATATTTTTGATGGATTGAAGCTCAGGATGATTTAGGATGATTATCTTAGCAAATAAATATGTTGTAAAAAAAAATCTAATTAACAAAACTTCCTGTCAACTTGTTGCTTTGGTAAAAAGAAAAAAAAGTAAATAAATAAAATGGAATTTGCTAGTAAAGCTATTCATTTTTTTTGTTTTATTTTCATTTTTACAAAGTTGGCCATTTTGTATAATAAGTGGGATTTATATAGAAGGAATTTCCCTGATCTTAAATGTGTCCGAATGATAACTTTGATTATTTTCTTGACTGTATAATTTTATTGATAAATTAGATCTGTTTTGTAAAGTGCCTTAAAATGACCTTTGTTTGAAATAGGCCTTATATGAATAAAATAAAAATGAATGAAAGTGAATTGATGTAATTTGTGAATTCAAATTAAATTGGAAATAAAATGCTTTGGCGCTTGGACTACGGCAGAAGATGTGTGTGCTGAGAATCCAAAACTTATGGTTCCGATTCTATCTTCCTCCTGCCACATGTTGGTGTCGGGCAAAGCACTGAACTCAAAGGTGTTTGAGGCAGAGCAGCTGAATGTTTTACAGATTAACTGTCTCCTAGTATACAGTCACAAAATAGTTAAAAAATATATCTATATATTATATATTGATCTAAGACAAGTAACAAGTTATAATAATGAAAAAGCTGGTTTCCAAAGTGAGCCAGGGCAGCTTTGCTCTACAAAATTAATATCTGGAAATGGTAGCTATTAACAGAAGTTCACATTTGACATCAGAATAGACAGATGCATAAATAAAATATCAATCTTTATCCACCTGAGTTACTTGCATGAGTGTCTGTCTGTGTGTGTTAATTTATCATCTGGGATAACAAGACGTTTCAAATATGAAAAGAATTGAATCATGCATCTCCCCAGGGAGGCAAGGAGTGGGTAGCCTTGAAATGAATCACAAAGAAGTTCTTTTTACCTGGACAAACACTTTCAGTGTTTTGGTGATCCCGATGTGCCCTCTCAAAATCTGAATAGTTGCTTTTCTTTGAAAATAATCATGAAAATTGTTTTGTTCCTTTATTGTTTTATTTATTTTTGGTTTGTTTTTTTAAATTAAAACTCAGCAAGAGCTATTATAATGCTCAAAGTGTTTCTTGGACAACACAACACACTTGAATGTGAACTTTAAGCATTAACTGAATCAAATGAGGAAATCAAAAAATTGGGTTTGAGAAATTAAAAATGACAGTCAGCATTCTGAAGACTTCCTTTTTGCAAAACTTGCAAAAAGGAAGGATTTTAGTTACCTAAGGCAAAGTGATTTGATTTACTATTAAATTGTGCTGTGCACATTAAACTGCAGTTTGACTCATTTCCTGTTTTTTTGGATTTTTTACGTCAGATTAAAAAAAAAAACAGAGAAATTGTGAAAAGCTTAAGACATTTACCCCTAAGGTGAGTTTATAAAAATGTACCTTTCTGAATTTATTTCAGTGCTTTGTTTTGTTGTGTTGAGTCCTGCATTAAATTTAGGATGATTATCTTAGCAAATAAACATGTTGTAAATTATTTCAAGTTATTAAATAGGTTAAATGTTTTTTTGTTTTTTTTTAATAATACACTTCACACTGAAATACTTGAAAATGTGTTGATCTGATTTTAATCAAAAAATAAATAAGTATGAAACAAAACTGTCAGAATTCTGACTTTAAGGAAAACCTTGAAAAGGAGATTTAGTGACGTGTTGCAGCGGAATAAGTCAGTGACTAAATCCTTCCCTTTTCTGAAATCTCTAACATCACTTCTACATTTTCTGCAGGCAACATATGGATTAAATGCTCAGCTTTGGGGCATTTTAAAGGTTCATAATGCATGGCTTGTATGTGATCCTGGGGCTTCTTTTTGCACATTCCCATTTTTTGGAATCAAATGGTACAGTATTCCCACTTTTGATAGCAGGATGTTTGTGAGTTTCTGTTAAAATGCATGGGTCTAAGCTTTGTTTTCAACCATTGCACATGGATATTTGAAACAGTTTAACACCAGAATATTATTTTTAATCAGCTATTGTTATTGAATTGTAGACTTTTTTTTTCCCTATTACTTATTTTAGTTACTCATGGAACTGTTTTGAACAATTTCTCTTTTGAGATTCACCATTTCAGCTTACCAACACAGGCACAGAATTTTGCTTAGTTAAAGCTGGCAGCAGGTGCGACGACATACGCTGGACAACTGGCAATCGACTGCTGGTTCCCAGGGTGAATAAATGCCTTGGAGTTCAGGGAAAAAGTGTCGGGAATCAAGTGAGCCTGTACAACTGTTATGAAACAAGTGAACTCCAAAAGTGGGAATGTAAATGAAACGGTGCTTGCCCTCCAAGGCCAGGAGCTTTATATGGAGCTCAGAGCAGATAACCAAGCTGTACTATCAAAATCAATGGGACCCAACAGCCAACTCACCATTTCAGGGATATCTAGTGGAGCTTGCACAAGAACCTATAGAGGTAGGAGACTCTCTTGCTGTTTTTCTTTATTGTTCAAGGCTGAGTGGTCTATTGTGACCTTACTGTTTGTTGTAAGGCTCAGTACTTCTTTAATTAGAAGGATTTAAGTGTGTTCATTTAATCAATGAGAGTCAATGAATGGTTCCATCTATGCCCTCATTTTATAAAGGCTGCAGTGCATCGTTTATTTTCTTTGTCTCCTCCAAATCTGATGTCCAATTCTTACAAGAATTCATGAGATGTTACATTTTTGTCAGTAACTGTATATGGTAAAATCCAATGCTTTTAAATTACAAAAACTGAAATAAATATTGGAAATGCTTCCTATAAATGCATGTATAATGTTTTATTGAGACTTGGAAAAGTTGCAGAGCTGTAATTTGCTTGGTAACTTAATTTGACAAGCAAATCCCCCTTTGATGGTATGAATTAGAATTTGTAGTTTGCTTCTATTTTTGTGAAAAACAAGTGAATTAGGCTGTGTGGAGATAACACTGTAGAGTTAAAGAGCAATAAACAGTATGAAAGAATAGTGTACATTCAAAATGACTGTTTCACCTATGAGTGCATTATAAAATGGGAAGCATAAAACTGCATCAGCTTGGGAGTAGAAACATGTCAGTCATCCATGTAAGAATCTTTGTGCCACTGACGTGCTTCTCTGTCTCTGATTCGATCCCTGTCGCTCTCCCTGTCCTTGTATCTGTCTCTGTCCCGATCTCTGCCCTGGTGGTTGTAGTTGTGATGGTTGTGTGCAGGATAGAGGTCTGCATGGTGTGTCCGTGTTGGGATACGCTGGTGATGCCTCTGATGTCGGTTGCGTTCGTTGTGCTCCTGCTCGTAGCCCTCCCTGTCATGCAGCTGGCCACGGTGGTGTTGGTGATGATGGTGATAATGGTGGTGGTTGCTACTGTGGTGGTGATGGTTATGTCCCCGGTGGTTGTAGTGTATTTCCTCCTCATTGCCCTCCACCTCCACTTCCTCCACCTCGTCCTCCCTCTCCTCATACAGGGGTCTCCTTGGAGGCCTCTGGCTGTAATCTCTACCTGACTTTGCATTCACATCACCAGATATTTGGCTGTGCTGTGCGTGGCTGTGGTGTTCCATCCGTCGGTGGTGGTGGTGGTGGTGATGGTGGTGGGTGTGCTGCGATCTTTTTGGTTCTGTCCTCAGATGTCGCTCCTCTTCTTCCTTTCTTTGGCCTTTTTCAACTCTGTCCTCCTGATCTGGGGCGGGTGGGGTCTCCTTGTCTGGGTGGTTCTCATGTGAACCCTTCCTCTTGGAGGCAGCCTGCTTCTTACTCTTCTGCTCATCCTTAAAGGAAAAGGACCAGATGAATATCATTTAACTAGTCACACAATAAAATTAAGTAACTTGCAATTCCAAATCACAGAGACGATGTGGAAAGATCAATGTGAACAATGAAAACAATGTGAGGAAGATGGTGACAAATTTTCAAAATGATAAGATGGATCATTTTCATTTCCAGCTCAAATGTAAACGTTGACCTGGATTTCTTCTGGATTTGTTTAAAAGAACAAACATTCTTTTGTAAACGTGTTTAAACTATGGTTAAATCCTCACATGAGTAGAAAACCGAGACTTTCAGTTGCTTCCATTAACTGTTAATAGTTTACATAACCGCTGGTCAGCTCACTGAGATAATCTATTCTGGTGACAATGGCTGTCATTATGTGGGCAGGCTTAAATAAAATTATTTCGATCAAGCAGTCATCTAACTATAACAGGCTACAAATTACTGACATTACATAAAATCACGTATTTGAGGTTCTACATTTTTTCCATAACTAAAAAACGATAACAGTTATATTTCAATAACTCACTCACCAGTTGTTGGCTTATTTCATTTCTTCTTCAACTTTGCATAGTAATAGGATGAGAAGACATGAAATTAAAATGTTAGGTGGACTGGTGGAAACATACAGATGAAGCAAAAATAATGTTAAAAAAATCTAGTTTCTCTAAATTTAAACAAATATCTGTACACATCACATGAATGAGATGAAGTTTGATGAAATGAGGTGATATAAAATAGTATTTTTTATATTTCTGTATGATTTCACTGTATGAATTGTTTTTTATGCACCGGTACTGTTGCTGGAGAGGCAGGCAATGTGTTCTCAGCCAGCTGTGCTACAAGTGCATTTGAAGGCTCCATCTCTGGCGGATGCGTTGCTTTCCAGTAAGATTCAAGGTAATCCGCGATGTGCTCACAGGCATCAGTAAGCTGGTTCTCGTCTAATATGACATCAAACATTTCCTACAGACAATAAATGGTGAGAAAGAAATAGAACAAACATGAACACCTGGATGCATTGGAGAGCATAGTAAATGTGTGTTAGGATGTTTAATGAAGGAGTAAGTTTACTGAAAACTATAGCTGTACTGTGTGTGTCAAAAACTATTTAGAAAAATTAAATCCAGAAAAAATAATACTGCAATGAATAGAACTTCACTGGTGGTCAAGTAAGGCTGGATTTAAGACTGATAAAAAAATCCCCCAAAAAACAGGATTTGTTATTTTACTGCATGTTAAGGCTACTCAGCATTGATTTTAACAACGTATCAACGTAACAACTTGCAGATTAAAAAATGACTTGACATCATTACACGGCATTAACCAGATCTTTATCTCTTCAACAGAAAAAAAAGCAGTTGTCGTTTTTAACAATTTCCAGCAGATGGCGCTCACCGGCGGACACTGGGCCAGCTTGTCTGCTGCCACAAGTTGGACGTTAAGATGTTTGGTTTGAGATTTTCCTCTTGTCTTGATAAGTCTTGTCAGCACCTACACAAGGCAAAATAGAACACAACTTTAAAAAAAAGTAAGTATCCAGTTTTTTTTGACCAATACAGGGCAAAAAGTACAGATTTAGAGAAATGCATTCTATCAGGATGAATGACTGATGAAACCTACTCTTGGTGAAGATATCTTCACATAAACAAGAATTGGAGCAAGCGAAGTCTTGGACACTTGCAGTGGATGATTAATTGTGTCTGCATCCAAAATGACAAGCTGCATGCTCTGGGCCAGCTCAAATATACGCTCCACCTCCCCTTGGATCTGGGCTGCAGAAACAGAAAATGTAAACTTCCAACTCTAAGACAACATAAAATATAGATGATGTAACAAGATCTCCCTGGAAAACCCTAAATATGACAGCACACATATTGAGACTGGCAACAGTAGGAATGTTCTAGATCTTTATACCTTTATTCTCATATTTTATATTATTTTCTACTATTATAGAAAAACTGTTACAGTAACTTTAAACAATTCAATGACAATAATAAATTTAAAAAGTTGCCTTTTTTTAAATAAATGTTAATTTGCTGTGAAGATTATTTTAGGTTTAAATCTGTTTAACACTTCATTCAACACATACAGTCTGGCTTCATAAGAAGCTTAAATTATTTACAAAAGATTTTCTGCTTTACTTGAACTTGTAAATAACTAATAAACAGAGCAAATGACAATTGACATCAGAAATAAAAAGCATGTAAAGAAATAGCATGTTCCAAACAACAAAAGAAAACAAGACCTTGGCAGCTTTCACCAAAAGCCTAAATATTTAGTTTTTTGTTCTTATTATATGTATAATTTTTTCCCACCACAAAGGTAGATGCGTCAAGATTTCTTCAACTCATGGCAGGGGTAATATTAAACTTGTCCACTAGAGGGAGCTGGAAAGGACATCAAGTTTTAGTCCTAAAACATATCCGACAACCCACTCACACAAAAGCACTTCAATGCACTTTGGCTACATATTTCAAAGCTGTAAAGGATGAAGTCAGTTTTTGTGTACATGGACTATAAATGAAGCACACAGAAGTGAGAGGGTACCAGCAGCTGATACAAACATGAGGTAAATGAGAACAGAAAGGAGGTGGAGCTGTCAAAAACACAAGGACAACCAGTGCTTTCAGTCATACATACCGGCAGCATCTGGGATGAGACGGCAATGAGAGAGACAAGAGAAAAGCAAGTAAATCTTATCCCTGCTCTTGTTTTAACTGATTTCCTCCTCCTCTATTGAAATGGATAGAAAGGATCAGAGGGTAGACAGGGAGACGGTTGTGACTATTCTACAGTATAAAGATAAAAAACAAAAACAAAAAAGAAACATCTGCTTGGTTTGAACAAGATGAAACTTCCTAAAACCACGAAGTTTTCTAACTGACTGAGATTGTGCTGGTTCTGATAGAAATATATGAGAATAAGCAAAGCATAGCAGCTGCAGATCTGTTGATGCTGTTGTTAGGTCTGATTGGCAAGCATCATCCTTTTAGCCATTAATATTTGCAGTAAATATATTTTGTAGCATGGTGAACCTGCTAAAAACAAGTAACTATTGTTTAAAACATTTATTACATCCACTATGTCTGGAAGATAAAAGCAAATAATGTTTCTTTTTAGTCATTTGCTCCTCAAAGCAGGAACATGCAAGCTAAAAGTTGCTGAGCAAGAAACAAGAAAAAGCATCAAAGGTCTCAAAGCTCTGAGGATCACAGTCAGATTAGGAACCCACTCAATCCACTCAAACCAAAGTAAGCCTGATCTGTGGAGGCTACAGGCTAGTTATTCACTATGGTGTTAGTGGCAAAGCAGCTTTCATGAGACATTCGGTAAAAGCAAAGTCACAAAAGTCTATCTCTACCTTGGACACTTGCATCAGAAAAAACCGTGACTCATTTGGAGTCTGGGTTTTCTAGATTTACTAACGGTTCTCTGAAACATCCTTGCTATAACCCACATCTCTGAGATAACAGTACAAATATAGTCAAAAGAGTAGAACACCCATCATGGTTCCAGATTTAGGATATGCTTGATTTAACTTTGTGGCAACTCTGTGTATTTAAGGCAAAAACTGAGCAGCAATGTAAGCCAAAAAACAAAAATAGCTTTGACACATTCATTTCAAATTAATTTAGATAGTATGAGAAAATTAATTAGGACTTTAAAAATATGGGGGATGCCACAAGGGAAGTCAAGTTTTCCAGAAAGCAATTATATTAACTTGTTTTGGAATTGATTTAGTTGTCTTTTCCATGATGAAGCTATTGGAGTTGTGTTTTATCCATGTATCCCTTTTAACATTTAAGTCACAGACATGCGAACAGAAAAAAAAGAGACATTAGCATAATCACACTTTGTATTTCAATCTTGCACATGCATGGCTTTAAATTTTGCAGTGATTACAATTATATATATATTAATGATTCGGTTTAATTCTGCTGCCACACAAACTTGACCAATTAAATTTACTGAGTCAATTAAATTCTTTTGTTACAAAAGTATTCTGTAGTAAAATATACTACAGAATACTGTAGTACTACAGAATATAATACTACTGAATACTTTATGTATGACCAAAGTCATGCATAAAATAATGGCAGTAATTGCTGCAAAGCTGAATAAAGATCTACCAAACCATAAAGTGGGATTAGCTTCATACAAACAGTTCTTCCACTTTGACTAGATCTTTGGTTGATACATAATGCCAGTGGAGTCTATTTATTGCTGTGTACACTTGACTATAAACTTCATTATTATAGGAGCTGATTTTTGTTACACTGTATATTGATGTATGGACTCAAAACTTTAAAAATATATATTATTTAGTCTGCTGACTAAATAATATATGCACTCTGTAAATTCCAGTGAAGCCGTTCTAAATTACACACCTTACAAAATATAGACCACAGCTGAACTTAAGAAAAGACAGTAATTATTTCACACTTTTTTTTTCTGAACAGTTATGATGACAGATACAGATCCAAAACAGGGTAAGTTAAACCTCTTAATGATTTGTGCAGTTTTTGATTACTTGCATTTTCTGCCAATATTACAGTCAAATTTCACTGAGTAAAACTTATCCCTGTCTGCTTGTTGCATGTGCAGAGCCTCAAGGAGGAGACGATCCACGCAGTCGTGCCCACACAAGTTTGGTGGTCGTGATGCTTATCGCCATCATCTCGACAATGACCGTTGTCGCTTTCTTGATCTACAAGAGATCTCCTCGTCCCTTCCCCACCTTTGACAATCCATTGTACTTCAATGGCGAAAAATCTCAGCCTGATGTGGTCGACACCAATACATTGATCGAGAATGCTGAAGTATCCGATATCCCCCAGAAAATCCAGAGCCCATTTTAATTCTGTGATTTAGGAGTTTTGCAGAAGTTGAAGTTGTGCAAACTAGTCTGAGATTAATTTTTCTGTAAACACAGCTATGCTTCAGTATTTTGTTTTTATTGCAAACAATAAATATTCAGTAATTTAACAATAACTGTATTTGTTCTTTCTCTACCTATGACAGAATGTATATATAATTGCTACATGTTAAGCTCTTTTTCTACATGCTGTTTATTGCTTTTACTGTTTGAATGTAAAATGGAGGACACACCCTATCAATGTTCAAAAAAGACATTAAACTGTTCATGATGATATACTGTTCATTTTTTTTTAATTTGTTTAGGGTTAAACAATGTCAGCACTGTAATTATTGGTTTCTTTAAATGAATTCTGCATAATGATAAAGAAAGGAGGGAGAATGTTTCTTCCACTGAAATCATGTTAGAGGAAGTCACAAAAACTTGGCATGTTTATATATGGCAGCTCTTTATTTAGTATGACACATTTTCATCAGAAAAGAAGACATTTTCTGTTAAATTCTGTCAAAGGAAATACCATTTAGACTGAATTTAGTGGCACTGCTTGTATGTTAAAAATGTAAAATGCATATCTTTAAAATACGTTAAGTGTATTTGTAATAAATGGATCCATAATATATGTTTCATGGACTGTACTCCAAGGTAGCACAATAGTGCTTAGTGCCAATATAAAGCAATAACTGTCTGTATAAGAACTACTACAGGCGAATGATACAAAACATTGGAAAAGTTTTAACTTTTGGTTAAAAGATAACACTGAATATTTGCTCCCCTGGATGTTTACAGTGAGTTTATTCCTCCGTTGAAAATAAATGTTCTTGAAAGTGTAACGCAGTTTTACCTTTCTATTTAATTTTCCAAAATGTATGTTCAATGGCAGACAGTCGTCTCACTGTACAAATAATCAGAATAGACCAATCACATGGAAGCAATTCAAGGATTTAATAGAAAAGATTTGCTGAAGTTAAGTTCGAATATCAGAATGGGGAAGTAGTAGACAGTAAGATAAGTAGGAAATAAAGTGGCCTGTAATTCACAATGTTAGTTTGTGGATTAGGTTTAAAAGCGATGTCTGAACTGTTTGGTCTTGTCTCAACACAAACACAAGCGCTAACGAAGTATAATCTGAACAACAGACTTCAACTTAAGCCAGAATTACTTATATCCATGGCAAATTTAGGTTTTCTTGTATGGAGGGTTGAAACTGACGTCATTAAAATTTTTTAAAAGAAATAGAGTAAATCAATCAATAAACTTAACATGTACCCTTTAATTGGAAAATAGAAAGCTTTGCCTCTTGTTTTATAATTCAATTCACTTTCACAGCAACTTAAACTGAACTTAATGAAATGTTTCCCAGAGAAGTAAGAAAATAAAATCACAGTCAGCGTTATGAAGACTTCCCTTTTTGCAACTATTTCCCAATAGTTTCCAGATAATTTCTCAAGAAGACTTCTTCTACATTAGTCTAAATCTTTGTAAACCACAAAATAGATCACATCCCTAACTGTCTGCGGTTCATTTTGTATGATACATAATGTATTGGAGACAGTTGTAAATCTAAAACATATACCTTTCAAAGACTTGAAAATCATTTAACTTAAAGTCAGTGCAGTTGTTTAAATGCTTGCTCTTTGAATTTTTAGTGACTTTCTATTAAGTTGTTATGCAAGTCAATGAGAAGCACCTGATGTTGATGACAAATGACAGTTGAACGGTTGGTTTTCTGATTAGCCATAGTCTTTCCCAAAAATGTCTTTTGCAACCACAGCAAGTCAGTCTGTCTTTGGTCTCCTTTTACGCACATATTTTCCTGTCTGTTGGGATGCAAAGAACAGGTTATAGGCAGAACATGGTGCAGAGGGTATCTTTCTTCAAATAAATTGCTCATTCAGATTTCAGGAACTATGTGGTAATTACTTGTTTGTCAGAAGTAAACAAACCAGACATGATGCTGACTAAATAGAAAGAATAAAAAAAAGAGATGTGATGACGTGGCTTGTCGTGATGCGTCTCGGGATAAAAGCCCCCATCTCTACATATTGACCAACACAACTTCTAGATTTTGTGTGGACATTAGATGGATTAAGCATTCTCCTGGTGAAGAAAGTCTTAAGAAGAATCATGAGGAGCACATGTGTTGTCACTGTGCTCCTACTGAAAATGCTACAGTGCCTGGCATTAGATGGTGCAGTATTCCAACTCTTGATTTCAATCTGTTTCAGATTTTTTTAAATAGCAGTAGTTGCATATAGAAATCTGTGTCTAATTATTGCTTGTATGTCTGTATAATATAGACAAAACATTTTCTAATAGCTAACTGCTGAAATATTTATGAGAACTTTTCATTTTTTAACAATTTCTCTTTTCAGATTCACCATTTCAACTTACCAACGCAGCTGGGTTTTGCTTGGTTAAAACGGACTCCATTTGCCAAGAACTACGCTGGACAACTGCTGACCGATTGCTGGTGCCTGGCAAAAATAAATGTCTGGGAGCCCAGGGAACAACTGTGATGAGTGAAGTAAGCCTCTACGATTGTGATGAAACCAGTGAGCTCCAAAAATGGAACTGTACGAATGGAACCATGCTCACCCTCCAAGCAAACACCGAACACAAGCTATTTATTGAGCTCCAAGCAGATAACAAAGCTGTACTGGTGACAACAGCAGGACCCAACAGCAAACTCACGATATCAGGGACATCCAGTGGAGCTTGCACAAGAACTTACAGAGGTATAAACCTGCATTTTTCACAAGATCCAAGTAACTAA